AAAATATAGCAATAAAATTCATTTTTAAAAATAAATATCAAACCATTCCAATGAATTAAAACTTTTATTAAAAAAAGAGTTTTTGCAGAATCAGTTATGGGCCAGAAAAATCAGAAGGAAGCTAAAATTTTAACCCAACAGGTTTAAACTTATATTATTAAAACACTAGATGGGGAATATTATATATCTACTCAAAATGTTCAAACTCAGTATTTAGACTTCCATTACTCTTCTAGTTACCTTATACATTATCCAATGTCCATTGATACCCTTTATAGTGAGCTAAGAATATAAGGTGCAAAATGAATCTTTTCAGAGAGAAAAATCCTGAAAAAATAAAATGATTGAAAAGTAATATCCAAAATGCATGTTTTTCTGGTCTTGTCTTTTGGGTTTTGTTTTGTTTTGTTTTTTGTCAATTATCTAAAACAAGTATTTTGTTTAATTTTGTTTTAAAAGATTTCACAGAGTACTCTTCTTCAAATCACCAGTAAACCATGTGACAAGCCACCTTTATGACCCCCGTACAGTCATCCTGAACTGATTTTGCAGGAGAGATTGTGTGATTCTTTATTTTGGAAATGCTTATAACCAGGTGAAGAGCTTGTCTTCCTTCCTCCTTTGAACACCTACTGAGAGTGATGAGCTGGCTCGTATGAACGGCGCCCAGGTCTCCACAAGTGTACCACTGCAAGCTGAATGATTGGGATGGCCACCTATTCAGGCTGTTCCTCTCCAGTGGGGACAGCTTGGTGGGGTCACTGCAGTTCAACTTTCTCACCTTGGCCCAACCAAAGGCATGAAAGTTAGCTCGGTCAGGAGACTTGCTCCCTTGCACAAACCATTAGCTCATGGTGAGTGTGCTCTGCTCATCCTATCCAACCTCAGAGAACATATGTCTATCCCAGAGCACTAATCTCTGGTTTCTCAATCAGAAAGCATCCCACCAACAGAGGCTTGATTATTCTGTGTAGTTAGTTACTTCATTTCTCTGAGTAGGGAAAACTACATAAATTTTTTTAAAGACTCATAAACATTCCTTGGGAAGTAAAAGTAGGGAAACCAGGGGTGGTTAGCAGGTCATTTTCTCTGGCAGAGAGTCATGAGAGAAGGGAACCATACTGCCTAGAACAAGGGAGGCACACATTCCTAAGGACATACTTTGTTTCTCTGATGCCTGTTATCATTAAATACAGAAGTGACATTGTATCCACACTCTTTCTTATTCCTAGTCAACTTCATAACATTATAATTTCCAGGTCAGTTAATAATCTTGAAAATTAAAAGACATTTGAACTGAAAAATGTCTCATGGGTTTTGTACAACCCCATCAATATACTTGCTGATGTGAAAAATGGCTCAGAAAGATGAGGAGTGATTAGAAATACAGATCCATTCAGTAAGAAGCCCTGAAGCACAGGTTCTGGATCCATTCACTCTACAAGCTTCTCAGAGGCTGAGACAGGAGGACTGCCTGAACCCACAAGTTCCAGCCAACCTGGGCAACATAGTGAGAGTTTGCCTCAAAAACAAAACCAAAAAAATAAAGTAAATGCTATGTAAATCATTGTTATACTGTATTGTTTAGGGAACAATGAACCAAAAAAGTCTATACACGTTCAGCACAGATGCTTTTTTTTTTCTAGTATCTTCCATCTTCAATTGGTTAAATATGTGGAGGTAAAGCTCTCAGATGTGTAGGGCTGAATATATTTGTTTCTGCTCCATCTCTGACATGAAATTTTTCTTCATTATCTCTCTTTCCTCCAATCTCTTCCATGACATTTCTGAGGCATGAAAAGCCTCCCTTGGTCCTCACATTACAACATGTGATTCCATTTTTACACAATCCCAAGGAGCTCAGAATGCAGAGTGGAGGAGGTGAATTCCAGGGCTCAAGGGTCCCCGGTGATTATTATTTCAGCCACATTATCAGTCTGATGATTTTGTAAGTTAGCAGAAAAGCCAACTAAGAAATTCATATGTAGAATAAAATATTTATATACTTATAGAATATAACATTCATACACATTCAGGACCTTCTTTTTCTGGTACAGAATAAACACAATTAGGAAGTAGAGCTTGCAGTGTGATCTCCACTGTGGTAGAATCCAGTTATGGTGATTAAAGAATAATGGAGGTCAAGCAATAAGAAACAGATGAGGAGAGAAAAGAATGAAAAAGGCATAGAAAGAGACACAGAGGGGAAGACCAGAGAAAGGAAAGGATGCACAGAATGGCGAAGGGTTCAGTGCAAGCATCTCAGTGATATGAGATGAATGAATTGATGGAGAGGGAGGGGTATGGGCTGAAGATATGGAGATGGAAAGAGGTAAAGGTAATTGCTTCAGTCAGAGACACAGGCAGAGAAGAGCCCAGCACAGGTAGCAATTTGCTTTTGGATGGTAAAAGACAAGAAGAGCAGGGTGGTTGTTTTCAGTGCTTACACTTGGCCATAAATTCTAGTCAAGATGTGAATATCAGCGCTACTACCTACCAATACCCTTTTTTGCAAGTCCTTTCTGAAAAGTGATGGTCACACATGCATATGCATGTGTTAAAACACAACAGTGTGTACTTAGGTTCTGTGCACTTTCCTGTGTGTAAGTTATGCTTCAATTTAAAAACATTTTTAGTAGGCATGCTGAGTACCTATAAGCATCTTAAAACAGCCCTGGTGCATCCAAGGTTTGAACCCAGATCTCCAAGGCCTAACATCCATGTTCTCTCCATATTTTGTGCAGCCTCTCCAAGAGTAATTCAGAGTGGAGATCTATCATATTCTGCATAGACAGGAAGGAAACAAGGGCAAGGATGGCACGGTACAGTGGCAATTGTCTGGTTATATAATCATTCTAGGGAACTTTTAAAAAATAATTGCATCATTTCACTAGGTAATTACAACAGTTGTGTGAGGCGAAAAGATTAGGTATTTCTATTTGACAAATGTGGAAAATGAAGTTTAGATAACCCTGATTTCTCGAATCAGAAGGTATCAGAAGGTATTCTTGTTATCAAGAGTATAACTCGAGCGTTCCAGTGCAGGAATCTTTGCACTATGCTATGGAATTCACTCAGAACACATAATGTGGTAGCATCAATTCTAGCTATCAAAGTTTGAGCATGAGCAGAGAAAACTTTCTACCAGCATTTAAGACCCTAGTAGTTTGTGTGTGCTAATTGGTCAGCATCCAGTCTCTCAGGTGGTCGAGCATTTCTTCCCTGAGAAGTCAAATGCCAACACCCATCTGTGGGGTGGGGCATAAATAACTCTGCATTCATACTACATTTGCCAAAGAAAGTACTTTTACAAAACTTTTGAGATTCCTTAGCATTCTTGTCCTTTTCCATTCTCTTTTTCCATCTTTTCATCCTTAAAGTTACTGAAATAAGATTACCTGAAATGGGAGTACTGAGCAATCCTAAAAACTTTTAAGAAACATCCCAAAACTCATATTTGAATAGGCTATCTCTATCATTGTGTCTAGAAAGCCTTACATGGCATGCACTGAAGCAGTGGTACATTTGAGTAAAAAGTCCCAATTATAACACAAAGGTTCAAAACTTGTATATATTAAAGTTCACTAAGAGTCTCTCATTCAACTACAGAAATATGGTATTTTATACATTACTCTCTCAAAAAGCTGCTTAGCAAATAAACAAAATACATAATAATGTGAAAAGAGTATTCATCATAAAACACGTGAAGCAGAATTGTTCCAGGCATGTGAGCATGTTTTAAATGAAAGTCTCTGCAAGATTCCAATTTCCAAAGTGCCACAGTTACTGATGCCAACAAAGTGCGGTGAGTTCTAGATAACAAGCTCTGTGATTTAAACCTGCCCATGACCCACATTCTGCAAGACCAACATGCACCCCAGCCATCTCCACTGGGCTGACTCAAAGATTCAATCCATTAACACAGAGCTCAGAATGCGTCTGGCCTCTGGCAAGTTGCTTTTGTATCTAGGAGTATGAGCCCCTTCTGGAAGGCAGGATTGCTCTAGTTTAAGCCTATGATGTGAGCTTATTCAGTTTACTCAAATTTAATATATATTACCAGGTCCTTATTAACTAATTCTTAAGTGCCTCAAACATTAGGGAAAGAAATGGGAGGCAGAAGTCTCTCAAAAGGACCTAACCAAAAATGGAGCTTTTATCAACTATCTGATCACAACAAAAATACTACTTTTTTGCAAACATTTAAGTAGGTGGTTTTGTTCCCACCTCTTCTCCCAAAAGTTTGTTTCCAAATCAGCAAGAGGAAATCAAGCCCCAGACATGAGTGAGTTAGAGCGAGCATTCAGGGGCTTAGGGAGAAACTGTGTGTGTCCCCGCTCCTAACCAGGATAAACCTATTTCAATTCACTGCCTGGAGAACAAACAAGTTTGACACAAGCACGAAATTAACCCGGGTGGTATAATATATGTAAACGTATTCTTTACTATTTTTAAAATGCAGACTTGTTCACTTGCAGGAGCAAAAGCCCTTTCCAAAGCATGCTGAAGAGCATATTTTTTTTTTTGCAATTGTGTGCTAATACTAATTGAAAACCACTGCTGACAACTTCACTAAACCAGTTGCTCCGTCATTGTGCCAGCTCATATATTTTCTCATATTTTAGCAAAGTTGGAAAAACTAATTTATATGTAAAACCAAGCAGTGGATGCATTCGTCCATCTGATTTGAAGAGGCATCTTGAGGAACTTTCTCAATTTAGACCAGGTGTCTTTCCATCTAAGAAAGAAACATTGAGAGAGTAACAGCTTTCTGCTCAAGTAGAGAAAGACTCTGGCTACGTTTTCTTTCCCTTGGGGACTTAACAGTTCATACTGTTTTTGTGGAAAGGCATTTTAGATGGACCGACTGGACAAGTCAACCGACAGCTCTCTCACTTTTAGTAAGAATGACCCGAAGTTCCCACTTTTTAAGAAAAGCTCTTTGTGGAGCTTCTCTTGGGGCACAGCAGGGGCCGGCGTTGGGCCCCAGGAGCGCCTACCTGCGTTCCTGAGCTTCTTGTTCCCATACACAGACAGGATGACCAGCAGGTTGCCCACGATGTCCACCACCATGGTGAAGATGAGGGAGCAGGCGAGCGTGGACGCCAGCCACGAGGGTCGCGGCCGCGCGCCCTCCCCGCCTCCCGGCGACGGCTGCGAGGCGTTGAGCAGCGCGCTGCCGTTGCCCTTCATGGTCTCGGGCGCTCAGGGCTGCGCGGCCATCGCCCCGTGCCCCTGCCCGAGCGCGTCCGCTCCGCCACCTTTATGGCTCCTCGCAGCCCTTCCTGCGCCTCCTCCTCATCCCGACCGCTTCTTCGAGCCCATCCTGCCCGCTCCATCCCCGCCGCCGCCCCCCCCCCCCGCAGCCGGACACCCACTCTACACTAGGGGGCCACAGCCTGGTGACACCTGGTGTCCCCCCGCAAGCGACGTGGACTCCGGGGACCCGCAGAGCGGGCCCACAGCACCCCCGTGCGGGAAGCTGCGCGGAGCCGGCGCCTTCGGGGACCGGAGCGCGCAGGAGCCTTTGCCTGCAGCCGACTTTTCGAGGCGAGGCGGGGTCCGCGCTGCAGGACCGGCAGGCCTCCTAGGCTTGAGCCCTACCTCAGACTGAAGGAGACTACTCAGCCACCATGTGCTCCAGCTTCCTTATCTGCAAAACGGGAGTAAAACAGTCAGTGTCTAACTCATCAAGTTTACAGCTAAGAGGGGGCCTCGGAGGGGAGAGAAACCTTTTTAGTCCGGTTCAATATTGCAGCTACGTAATACTTGTTCTGGATGCTTCTGATAATAAAATGAAATTATAAAAGAAAAATGTAAAACTCAATCTTTGCAGAAAATAGAAGTGTCATCACTAAAGCACCACTGAACTGATATATAAATTTGCTAGAAAATGGCTTAACTAGCTGTGTGCAGAGGGGGGGAAAGAACCTCAAAATGTTCTGAGAATCACGAAAGGAAACTTACATACAAGAGGAAATGTTATTTAGGGAAACTAAATAACCATGTTTTCATATTAAAAGCTTGAAATTTTCATGGTCTCCATATACTTATTTTATGCCAGCCCCATAAAAATGCCAAATGACTTTAAAATTCCTCTGAAAGAGTAGAAAAAGCACATTGAGACCATAATATTAAGTGAGATAAACCAAACACAAGTTAGTACATGTTTTCTCTTATATGAGAAACCCAAAATATAAATAAAAAGCAAAATAAGAGCTAGACAAGTAGGAAGATCCTTTTCAAATGGGAAGCAGAGCAAGAGCTGTAGGGAGGGGGAGGGAAAGGGGATTGGAAAAAAAAGAACTGAGCAAAAACAACAACAAAAAAAGGAAATAGAGCTTTTGTAAATGAAGGAACCAAGAGGGGGAAGAAGTTGGGAGGGGAGGGAGGGGCAGGGGATGAAAAAAACTTGAGATGTGTTCTGTACCTGCACCAACTTTCCAAAGGAAATGTAATTATTATGTACTGCAAATGTGTACTAATAAAAAATTTAAAATATTTTAAAGAGTAAAAAGAAGTATAGAAAAAAGTATTTGAATAAGTATGAGAAACGTGACCTACTAATACTAAAATGTACAACTAAAATTACAATAAGTAAAACACCATAAGCTCATCAACAATTCTAGACTATCTAAAATACAGATATGAGAAAGTTACCATTTCAAATTAGTGGCAGGAGCACTATATTATTAAAACAGAGATGCAATTAAAGAAAATGTAGGTAAAAGGTTATATAACCTTCGTGTGGAGAACAACTCTCTAAGCATAAAAAGCAGGACAGAAAATAATCATAACTACAGGAAGAAAAGTACCAGTAAGCACTAACTGAGCACTTATTTCCCATTTCCCACCTTGGGATAATTATTTCATGTGCACTGCCTTGCACAGTGTTCAACTATAAGGTTTGCCATTGCTTGGATCAGTTCATGGATAACAAACCTGTACTGCTGAGAGGTTAAGAAGTTTGCCCAAGTCAAGCAGTGATGGGTGGAGGTAGAATTTTAACTTTGGCCTTTCTGCCTACAGAGCTACAAATCTCATGGCAGAGTGTTAGTGCTTCTTAGTAGCGATATATTTGAGAACAAAAAAGTTAAAGCTTTATATATTTTTTAAATACCATGAACTAGTGTAGTAAAATCCAGATAAACTGGGGAAATGATTTGCAACCTAAGAGACAGAATTTTTTTTTTTTTGTACCAGGGATCGAATTCAGGTCCTTGTGCTTGCGCAGCAGGCAACAAAACCACTGAGCTAAATCCCCGGCCCCCTAAGAGACAGAATATTAATTACCTTAAATATATAAAGAACTTTTTTCAACTGAACAAGGAAAAAATAGAAATATATTCAAAAGTTCTAATTAGACAATTAAAAACTAAAAATCTGGAGCTAAGGGTAAGATTCAGAGGTAGAGTTTATGCTCAGCATGTGTAGAGGAGAGATTTGATCCCCAGCAACCCCCCCCAAAAAAAAAACTCCTAAAATTTTATATATAGACCATGCTTTAGAAAAAAATTGAAAATGAGAGTAAGTTATTTCAGCTCTCACATTTGAAAACACTAAAAATGGGAGTACTTAATGTGATTTTAAAAGGGAGGGGAGCATTCCTACGCACTACATATAAAAGTCTTAAACCTGTGCATACAGTTTTATGTGTATTTCTACCAATGAAAAAATGAACAGTATTTTGAGTATGTAAGGGCACATGGTAGTTCCTACAGCATTGTTTGTGATACAGTCATATGTCACTTAACAAAAGGATACATTACAAAAGCTTGGTCTCCAACAATTTCATCTTTGTACAAACATCATAGAATATACTTACACAAATGAAAATGGCTACAAGATCACTACGTGATATAATTTTATGGGATCACAACTGTATATCTGGTCCATCTTTGACAAAAATATTATGTGATATGTGATTATACTTCTGAAACTAAATATTCACTGGGTGGACCTAATAGCTAATTTGGAGAGAAAGAAGTAAATATACGTAAGGTTAAGTCAATAGAAATTATCCAGTGTGAAAAACACAGAGAAAAGTTTGTTTAAAAATGAACAAAACTTCCAATATCTATTAGATTATATTAAATGCAATATGACTGTAAAGATAGAATTAGGTAGAAAAAGTATTTGAAGAAATTATGACTGAAATTTCTCCAAATTTTAGGAAAGATTTTCACATACAAGATATTAAGTGAACTTCACACAAAGAAAGCAAAAACAACCATATCAAGATATATCATAATCAAGATGCTAAAAGCCAAAGATAAAAAGAAGTAAAGTAAAAAGCAACATAAGCTAAGGTGTAGTGACACATGCCTGTAATCCTAGTACTCTGGGAGACTGACACAGGTGGATTGGAAGTTTGAGACCAGCCTGGACAGCTTAGTGAGACCTCCTCTTAAAATTAAAAGATAAAAATTTAAAAATGGTCCAAGGCCGTAGCTTACTGCAAAGGCCCTGGGTCCAATCCCCAGTAGCACACAAGGAGGGAGAGGGGTGTCATCATTTAATGTACAAGGAAGGCATGAGGTAAGCTAGGGAGATTTGTCTGTTAGGGTGGGTTAATGGGGAGATTCATTTTTGAAATTTTAAAAATCACCTCATTCATTTCTCTATAGATCTACCTGTTGCCCCTCAAAAGCTTTGCTGAACACAAGCACTAGATCCATTACAACATCTCTTCTGTTTTTTCCATAGTCTAGGGAGAAGGTGTTGCACTTCCAGGCATTATAAATTGAATGTTGTCTGCTGTCCTCAAAGGATGATGATGGAGTGCAAACCACACACGAGCAAAATCCCCAGAGCCCAGAGTCCTTAGGGATTTGCCTGATACTAAAGCATTAGAAATTGATCTAAGATTTGATCAGTTTAGCTCTGCCTCAGTACAACACTGAATATGGGCCTTGTGGTCATTTCTAGCTGGGCTAAGACCTCACCTGAAACCTCCCGACAGGGACATCAGTCCTTTGATCTAAATACGAGTTATATGTTTCCAGAAGAGTCTCCAAAAGCTTGTATTAGGAACTGGATCTGCATTCCATGAGCAATTTCGAACCAACTATCTACTGAGCATTTCTGAGAAATCTCAGTAAGTCAAAAGGTTAGTGACCCAGGAAAGTACAAGTGCAAATATGGGGTTTTAAAACATGAAATGCTCGTGAAATGGCATTGTGTATGTTTGCTGGGGAGGAGACTGTAAATGAAGCTGATCAGGTGCAGATGCCTTAACAGGTGACGGAAGACTGCACAGCTGTCCAGGTGGGTTCCCACAGTGGGACATTTCCCATGCACCTGGGGAGGACGCAGGAACACTCCAAGCTAGGAGCCCACCTACCTCCTCTCCACTGTGCACATTGCCTGAAGTGTTCATGTCTTCTCTTTGTGAAGGCACAAGAACATCAGCAATCCCTGGGTGTGCAGTTGGTGCTTGTTATTCTCTCTTGAACTACAAATATTCCACTTGTCCCCAGAAATGCAGGACTGAATCAGAATCTCAGTGCTTCGGTTTTGAGTGAACATATAGAAAACTCACACACAATTAAGAACTTCTGATTTTGATCTAATGTCTGTTACTCTAAATGTGTAACTGTTATTTTAGCATCAACATATTGAAAGCTTATTAGGAATTAGGGAGATAAAAGCCCTAAACATCACAGTTCAGTTTTTAGTGAAGCCATTGCTTCGTACAGAGAACATAATCCATTGACCATGCTAAGGAAGTCTTTCTCAGTCAGAGGCTGTGACTGCTCATATTCAAGTTTTGTTCATTGCTATGCACACAAGTTGTAACAGAGGGTAGTGTATGAACAAATATTTGCCAACACAGCCCACATCCTAAATGGAACAGAGTGGATAAAACAATGAATGAATGAAGCAAGGGACCCAGTACAGACGGAAGAGCATCTGAGCCTCAGGAGCCCCAGCCCTCTGAGTCAAATGCAGAGTGTGATTTTAATTTTGTTAAGTGAAGCAGGTGAGACAATGAGGGCACCGGTTGGGCAGCTGTGAGTTTGACCCCAGACACCCCTTATCTTACCCCTAAGGAGTGAGGGTGATCTTGTTTATTGCTTACTTTATGGCAAACATAATGCTCCTGGTATTTGTTAGATACAGTAGGCTCTCACCAATAATTCTGAATAAATGAACAGCAAAACTAGCAACCTGAAGCTTCATCACACCCTACATCATGCATAGTCTCCAGTGCTTAGTGTACCAAATTGGTAGAAAATAACAAGGATTCAAATGATTG